GACAGCTTATCAGCTGCATGTTCTTTTCGTTATCATCCTCATGGAGCGACAAGGTGCAGCTGATATGCTGTCACGAAATTTATTGACGCCAATAAATCCCACACTATATGCGTGTTTTAAATTTGTACCGGGGAACAAATGCTTCAGACTATATACTAAGTCTAGGCGGTGTTTACGGCTGCGGCCTAGGCCCTATCCCTGCGCGGTCATCTCGACTTTGTCACCGTTTAAATGCAGTTGAGAGGGTTTAGAGTGGGGTAGACGGCGGCGTGTCTACTTTCATTATACCTGACCACAGTCACCGTCCCTGCTCTAGGGCAAATGGTGAACATCTTCGCTTGCGATAGTCGAACTAACACACCCTCCTTCTACTGCACTCCTCTGACTTACGACTCAGAATTACCGATACCGAATTGGTTGCTTCTACTGGACTGTTATAACCTTGGAACATACGTTTTCTTAGTCGGTTAGTATGCTTTACAAACAGTGGTATTTATACGGTATACATATAGTCCTTCAACCTCTGGTATTTTGGCCTGGTTTGGCCACAACCTTGTCAAGCTAAAACAAGATTCAAGTCAAGCAGACGCTTACGTACGGCCCATTGGTAAGATCCTACGGCTTCTAGTCTTTTTATAAATAATTCCAGCACCATCCCTGGGTTAACAGGAGCTAAGAGCTTGCATCTAGGGGTTACGATGACAATATTGTGAAGGAATGGTCGATTAAAAAGGGCCAGCAAAATGTGCAATACTAAAACTATACAGACCTTTGGATGAGGTGGAGAACCGATTGAAGACTCATCGTCACCAACCTGACCATCCACTTCGAACGTGCTGTTACCTAGGAAACGTGTTAAAAACTCTGGTTAGGAAATTCAGTGCTACTATGGCGTGAGTCCTACCTTCATTTTCATTTCTACTGCAGCATAACTTTCAAAAGGTTTTTACTAGAGTTTTATACTTAAGAGATGCACATGCTTCCCACTGGATAAGCTGCGTCACAATATCTCCTCCGACACGGTCTATTAGTAGAGAAAAAAGCTTGCAGCACGAGCGATGGGCCGATACTATTCACAAAGAAGGTCCCTGAACAGCATGTGCCGGTATAGCGGTGCAGAAAAAAAGGTTACCAATTTGTTCAACGAAAAAAAGATAATGAATTTTTCCATTAATTTAGTTTGAACAGAAGCGTCCACTATAATTTGAAGGTCTGTAGAGCTAGCTTATCTATGGGGTAACCGAATACCACTGGGAGGGGTGCCAAAGACTACCCTCCCTCCCTCTCTCCCTTTCGCTCGCACGCCTTGGTTTCTCACGGTATACTTCTAGCTCTTCCGCAGCCTTCTGGCAGATTTTATTTTGGAAGATTTCAATAATTCAGTTGACCCGATTGTGAAAAAGTCGCGGCTTCGGTGGGAGTCAAACACACGCAGCAGCAGAGAAGGTTTTGGCGCAGCTAACGCTCTAACACTGAGCTAGGAGGCTCACTGTAAGCCGTGAATTTAATCAAACATGGATCGGTTTTCACGATTGGGTCAACTGAATTAAGCAAATCTGCCAAATCCTCCTAAAACTTAAGTCAGCTTAGTAGTCATTCTGGCGGATTCTAGATGATTGCCTCGGAAATCCTGCCTGGGCAGTCAGCTTGCTGTTCCGTAACGGTGGATTCCATACAAGCAGTAAGTTTGGGCGGGTAAAATCTACGCAAGTGTGATTAAATTCACGGCGCACGGTGAGCCTCGCAGCTCAATGGTAGAGCATTGGCTGCACAAAAGTCTTCACTACTGTGTGGGTTCGACGACTTCCACCGAGACCACGAATTTTTCAAAATTGGGTCAATCGAATTATTGAAATCTGCAAAATTCCTATCAACATTTTTCAAATCAGATTCTAATATTTTACTAGTACCTACTAGAGTAGTAATCACGCTAGAGTACAACACCAACTATAAGAATCATGCCATAGCAGCACCCAGAAATTCTTACAGGCCTCCACAAACCCTGAACTGAACTGAGGCAATTCAGTCAAGAAGGGTAGCGACGGCGAGGCAGCCGAATGCGCCTTCTCCGGGAAGAAGCTACGGAAGTGCTCCGGTAGCATTGGGATCCAGAGGCCACCCTCGGCGTCCATTGTGGCATGTGACAGTCCGTTGTCGGCATTGTCAGCACAACGCACTGATTTGCGAACCAGCCTATCCTCCTCCTCATTCGGGGGCAGCGGATCCCAGTGCAGAGCTTCGCCAATTACATCTGGCAGGCCAAATGCACGGCAACGTTTGCGAAAGCTATGAGTCAAGGAAGTCAATAAAAACACCAGAAGGAATGCCCTACGTTAGAATGGCCTCCGGCGAGAGCTCACTGAATCTGCCCTCCAGCAACTTCTTATTGTCATCAGCATCTGCCCTAGGAAGGAAGACAGGGTTGGAAAGCATTAGAAGGTCATCATACTCTAGCTTGTGCAACAGTGCCGCCTTCTGTTGCTTTATCTGTTCACGGCGAAGTTCCGCATAACGGTTGATAGCAATTGTCAACAGATTCTCCTCCCGCAAATAGCTGAATCGCCTAAAAAAGTAAAACTATATGCGGCCGCGGCAATCGACTTACTCTTCTGTCTGCCGAGTTGAGGCAATGAGGTATTTGTACTGAAGAGAGCAGCTCTACAAGGTATAAAGTAGGGGGACCATGAGGGTTCATACCTTGTCGGAGAAGTCATTTAATTGTTGATGTTTAAGAAAGGTGTTCGCGATCACGGATAGAGCACTGCTGACTAGGCTCCAGTTTTTGCCATAAATGCTGACAGATTTCAGGAGATAGAAATTTGCACCGTCACTCCAGTTCATTCGTAAGACTAAATAGGGAGAAAAATGAAGCATAGAAGGGGGTTTTGATGCGGATAAATTCGAATATGATAGAGGTCAGGGGCATGCGTTATGTCAGAAGACTGAGCAATCAGTTGTGCAGAGACCAGATAAGGCACAAAATCGTCGACGGTCGGAACGAAATGAGAGCCGAAAGCTTTTCAATAAAAGGCACAAAGTTAATCATTTAGTTTCAGGCTACAGGGTGCGGCTTAACATTAAAGTTTTAGAACCAAAAGTTAATGATCTGCAGCCCAATAACTGTAATACTAGAGTTTGTTTCAGGGCAAAACAAACGAAAGCTACAAAGGGTAAAAATCCACTACAAATGGAAGATTAAATGGAATCGTGAGATGACAGGAAGATTTTGGAAGGGAGCAGGGAAGATTGTATGAACTTCCCGTACGTAACAGTATACACTCGTATGGCAGGATGCCAAAAATGTGCGTCAAACAGCTAACAGTGACCATGTTTACAGCATGTAATATTGGTTTCTAAAAAACCGATCAGTCGGACGGTATAGCTGTCGGCTACTAACCTAGTCAGTAGTAGCACAAAAAAACACACAAATTGGAAACTGCTACAGAGGGGAGGAGAGCCGAGACATGACCCGAGAACGGTAGAGTTACAATAACTTGATTCGTTTGTCATACGTCCTATAGCTAGATTTCGCTGCGGCGAATCGATAGTTGAAAAAATTAAACTAGCGATGCAGGCGTCTATAGACAAAAAGGCCGAGGATAACGCATGGAATCAAGCAGCAGGCAGGTTTTCACTTATATTTTAAAATGCCAAATGTTCCAGCTCAAAAGAATTTTAGATAGAACTATGGAAAAAAACGCTGAATTAGTCATAGGGACAAAACCCAGTTTCTGACTTTTATAAAGGAAGAAACATTAGAATACTAAGAAGAACGACTCGGCCAAAAGAATAATGGTTTTCTAAAACAAGACTGCATAAACAGCTATCTATGATTGTCTCTATTGATGACACATCGCTGACAATATATTCAGGATACTGCTTACTCAGTAGCGAACGATGACATTGATTTTACATTTAGGCACTCTAAGTTGCATAATCAAACGTACCTCAACGCAGGCGCGGAAAGTCTACAGTTAATAAAGTCTATCAAACAAATGTTGGTAGTCTTTTCTTTCTAGCCCAAAAGAAGCTAGGTGTACATAGTGCTCTGGACTAACAATTAACTGTTACGATGTGTTGGACCGGACTAATCCGGCGCCAAATGACGCATCAGATTGGCTTTCGAAGCTGCTGCGAACTTGGCCCACGTGACCTTAAGATGAGACCGTCAAAGATTGTCAATACAAGCGAACATGCGATTCTCAGGAAGTAATTGGGAAAAAGACGACTCGAGCGATGGGACAACACTTTTATTCGCCCGACGTTTCGAGATCCGGCGCGGATTCCTCATCAGAGACATAAACAGGAAGCAGTAACAGAAACGGGTAAAATATACGCAGGAATTTGCGATATTTATTGGATACAGGCATTACTTCAAACATATAACGACAATTAACGCTAATTGCCTTCTTGCGTGTTGATAGTTTGTTGACCGGCATGCGAACGCTGACTTGTTGAACTTTCGTCAAGCGTGGTGGACTCGAGCGTGATGACAGCTCGGCCAGCTGGCCCTCCGGTGTTGGCGTAGGATGATGCGGTGGCCTGTCCTTTCCCCCAAGTGGCGACTTGCTTTGGCCAAAAAAAGTCTCAGCACCGAATATGCATTGGGCAAATCGTTGCACTTGTTTATGGATTGGGGGCTCGGAAACCATGACTCAAATAATTTTCGGCTAACCTGATTGTCACCTCTTGCGAGAACTTTGACCTCATCAAATTTGAATGTGTGTCCGAGTCTCTTCGAATAAGCCGCAACATGAGAATTGGCATAATTTCGCTGCACTGCTGCCGCGTGTTCGGCAATTCACGTCTTTAGAAGTCTGCTATTTTCTCCGACATAGTTGCTTTGTCCGCAACTGCACCAGGTCCTATAGACGACTTCAGATGTTTCTTGCCGTGGCAGTGGGTCTTTTGGTTTCATTATATGACACCTTATGGTTGCTTCCGGCCTGTGTGCGACTCCAACTGTAAGTGGTGCGAGAAGGCGGCCGACAGCCTCCGATACGTTTTGACTTACGGTATCGCTCGCCAATGTTGAGGTCGGTACGATTTTGTTGGCCACCTCGTTTGTGCAAGCACCGGTTGACGACGTTGCGCGGGTAGCCATTTTCTCTGAACACCCG